GGCCGTGTAGGCCACAAAGCGGTACGCTTTGCAGCGGTTTCCGAAGTCAGCGTCCATGCTGGTGGTGTCCGCTTAACTTCTTGCCGCTTATATACCTAACTACGAAGGTAACCTTGATGACTGATAGGTGATTGACCCTGATTTTGATTTCCGCATAACAACTCATCATATGTGCTAAACATGCTCTCGCCCACTCCAAACTCTCTTCCTCTGGTGAGTCGCAAAAGTTAGTGTGTTATCTCTTCTTGCAGACAAAATCCGCTTGCTTTTAGATTATTCATTGATGTTTCCATTTTCCTCTAATTACGGTTCATACCATGCGTTATAGACTCTCATGAACATTTTTTCAAACGTATCTCTTGAACTTTACATCAATTAAGATTTGTGGTGAAAACTTTTGGAAGCGTGACGTTATGAGAAAGTTGTGGTAGTGTTCATTCGGAAATAGCCATTGCTGTAAAAAATGGAGGGAGGAATGCCTTGCTTAGTTTTCTCGTTTGTAAACCTGTTTCATTGTAATCGCCAAGTACTTCGCATAATCTTTATCAGATTTCGCTCCTGCATCTTTTATGCGGATGTGTAAGATATAAATTTCAGCAATTCATTTTCCATGCTTCATGATTGTGATTAAGTGATGAAACTATGGTGAAATACTAACTGCAATGTTGAAAACAATTCTGCGCTTCATTTCTTCTTTTTCCATTAAAAATAAACGCCACAAACAGCTCCATCCTACGCTGCGTTGCATAAATTAATTTTATGTTCTTTGGTTAACATTTTCAAAGTTAGCATTTTTGAAGACTTCATGTATTTCATGTAAGAAGGAGTATATCATCGCTATAGTCTCAATGTTAGACAGCACCCATAAATATTATCACAACAACTATCTATGTTACACCCTAAACTGGCTTTATGCACTTCTTTGCTCCTTCTTTGCTCTAATGGATAATCGACACTTTATAGTTTTCTATGCCATTGGTTTTTATGAGTTTTGTGGTTCGCATACCCATGAAAACTGGAACGAATAAATTTCCCTGGAAAAGTACTGTAACGAACAAGTTTTGAATTGCACAAGAAAGCCGACCTCGCCATGCCAGGCAACAAAATCCTATACTGACGATTGATGTCAGCTCTACCTACACCAAGGCAAAGCAAAAATCTATCGCACCTCGTAGTCAAGTGAATAGAACATCTTCTTCTTTAATCTCTCTTCCTCAAAAGAGTATTACGGTATAGGTATGTGACACAGATAAACTAATTCCAAGCAAACATTTCTTGTTTCCTTTGATGCAAAACTCTAAGCCCAGCAACATTCAGTGTCGATTATCTTCAAAAACACCTTCTGAATTTCGAAGAAAACTGTAAAAACTATTTAATCAATCAAATTACAAGGTTATATAATGAGGCCAAGGTGCTAACGAGTTTTGCTAAGCATGACAGACAGTGGTTCGCAGGTGGCTAATTTCGGTTTTTGACGTAGCCGATCAAAATCGTTATGAGTTTTCACTTATATCTAAGTGCGGAGTCACTATGATAAATAAATTTTGATATCTAAATTCCAAGTCAGTGTTACGTAATGCTTTCTTGGGACTGTTCAGTTTGGAAAACGCGCTGTATGTTTATAGGACACGTATTAGTCCAAAAGTTTGTTCGCACCTTTTTCCAAAAACTTCACTTCTTTTTTTTCTTGATGAAATTTACCTAATGTGTTTTTGTTTGAAAAATCGTGCTCTCTGCAGCACCTTTGGGCTCACCTAATATGAGTGAAACAGAAGTTACGAATGAAACTACTCAAAATTTGTTTCAACCAGGGTCATGAAAAAATCCTATAGTACTTTTGTTTGAAGGAGAAAATGCTGAGCAATACAATGATAACAATATCGTGAATTACTGTGAAGAAATTCGACAATTACATGCAAGAAGTGGTATTCAAAAATGCATTTTCCAAGCAGGCCACAGAGAAGTCGCGGAGGAGACCTTAAATGGATATTGCGACAGAATGATTCCTTTTTATGTGAAACCATAGGCTCAAAAATGATTTTTTTAGCTTTGGAAAATGCTAGTTTTCAGTAATATTATTTGCTTCTAGCTCTCTCATTTTTCCGTCTTAGTTCATATTAAGGGTTAAAGAGCACGATAACTCCTTTGAACGTATATTCTACCAAAGCAATACACTGGTGTGCGAAGGAAATATGATTTTTGAAGAAAAGATGCAAGGAAACTTTTGGACCGACTTAATACATATGCGATGGTGCCATCCGTTGTTTCTGCGCAAACTGCGGACCATTTCAAACTGAATATGTGCAATACTCCAATAAGACCTATTCATTTCAAATGTGGAATGCTTGGAAGTATTAATAATACTAAACAATTTATTATTATCGTAACGACGTCTGAGATCAACGGCGAGTTCCGTCCTCGAAGAAGACACCTCCGTCGATAGCGCAATACTTGGGGCAAATTCCACGTTCGCCATTGCTTGCGTTTGCTCCGCGTTGTCCTGGCTGACCATCATGCCCATTGCTTCCAGGCTTACCATCGTTTCCACATTGTCCTTTTTCTCCCATTCCACCTAAAAGTCAAGTGTGGAATCTCTGTCTTTCTAAAAGTGCGAGGGGGTTTGAATTACCATCATTTCCATTACGTCCGTCCTCTCCAGGTCGTCCGTCAGGCCCTTGAGGACCTCGAGGTCCTGGGGGTCCAGGCGGTCCCACTTTCGGTGTGTCCATAACACCGTCCTTGCCGGGCTCTCCAGGCGGTCCT